TGCATAGGCAGGCAGTTGATTCCATTTCTTCTGCCCTCGCGTACACAAGAAGATTAGCACAACAAGCGCTGTAGCAGATGCCAAGAAGGCCGCGCCACTACGCCCGCGAGAGCTTTTATGCACGACGCCCCGACGGGACTGCACGCCTGGTGACACTGTCTTGTCCGGATACTGCTGGACAGCCGGACTGTTTGTCTCTACATTTTCAGTGACTAAAGTAGTTACAGGCACATTGTCTCCAACGCCCAAATTTAGAGCCTGCATTTTTTGACGGGCAACAGAGGCTCAGCAATGCGCTTTGTCAGTAATATGCGCCGACAGAACCAGCAGAGCACATATTTCATTGGTCTCCCAACGGTGCTTAGGATGGATCTTTGTGTTGATTGAGCATCCCGTAATCTTGTCTCCGTGGCCATACGGTTGCCGAATTTGGGCGTGGATCCCTGAAATGGTGGGGATAAGAACCTTTGGAAGCTGGCAGAAAAGGCTAATCATCAGCTTTGTTACGCATATGCGGGCTTTTGACGGATGTTGAGTGACTTACGGTGTAGAGAATGCACGTTGCAGGATACGTAGCCTCGCTTATGCTCAGCATCAGGAACATCCGAATTTCTATGTACTCATATACAGAATAGCTTTATCTCCTTGGAAACGGGAGCTTGAATCATACCGCACGCTACTGCAGCACTGAGGCTTGAGTTTGTCCTGAGCCTTGGGCTGGCCCTTCATTCTTTCCAACGTTCAATGCCAGTCACTGCGCTCATTTCCTGCCGGCACTTTCAGTGACATTTGAGCAGTATTAATACTGTAAATGATGACTGGCTGATTCGGCGCCTCTGTTTGCCCTCTCCACTTTCACTTGCGCACTTCCTGCATAAAGCTGCACAATGACTGCTCGATGTTCGGTGGCGTACCTCGCTGCTCCACAAACGCTTCCTAATCGAAAGCAGGTGTATGGCACTTCTTGTTTGCAGACTATTAACCTTTCTAGAAAGCCTTATACAAGCGTCAGATTTCCATAAATATCTGGGAAGCTCAGGAACCACTCTCGACACAACGAGCAGACACGAAACTTGAAATTTCTACGAAGAGGGACTGATTTTGCCCTTAAAAACTTGATTATGACGCAGCTAGCAGTGTATTCTGATGCAGCCCAACCTTTTGCCGGACTCTATGTAGGTTAACAGTGGCTGTCCACGGCGTGCGCTGAGCCGATATAAAACAATGTTGCAAGGAGCCTACGTTCAAATTTGTGGCCAGTTATTAACTATACAGAGTTATGCCCTCCAGAATTCGGAGCTAGGGTACCAATTCACCTGAAGTCATGTCCATTTGAGCCTCTTTGCTATACTGTGTCAGTGCTTTTGCATTAGTCGAGTCTCTTCCTGTCTATGTAGCGTGCCATCTGGGTCCGTAACCAACTTGTTTCTTTTGCAGATACGCAGACGTATAAGCTGTAAAAGCCATAGCCGCGGAGGCACTCAACGCAAGCTGCAGCGGACTGAAATGGTAAGCACGTGGTATCTTGTGATTCTATGGCTTCCTTCATCGCTGGTCACTTCAATTCTTGTCTTGTGGATTTGTTCGTGCAAGAGAGCCGGAAGGCCACGCGCTAGCGGTAACCGTAACGGATCTACGACGGAGTGTCAAGCTGCAAAGTCCCCA